AAAAAGTCCGATGGCATTTGGTTAATTTTTAAAGTGCTCAGTGGCATTTGGTGAAATAACCGTTGTTTTTATTTATTTATTTTTTTAAAAGTGAAAGTTATTCGAAGGATAGTGTAAAAAAAGGCATGAGAATTGAGGATTGGGGATTAGAGAAGCCTCATTAATTTACTGTTAAATTATATATGTGCAAAATTAATATAAATTCCTTGTAATGTTGGGGACGGGAGATTTTAAAAACCAAATTATTAGTTGATATATTAAAATAGGTAATCTTTTGTTTTACAATTTTTTTTTTTTTTTTTTTTTTTGAGTAAAATGCATAGTATGTGTGTTATTAGTAAAAATGGTAATAGGGGAAGTTATTTGAAGATTTATTATTGTTTTTATTTTAAAAAAAAATGTTGAAGTTATTTGAAGGATAGTGGAAAAAAAGAAGTACATGAGAATTGAGGATTAGGGGTTTGGAGAAACCTCATTAACTTACTCCTAAGTTATATATTAAATGTGAAGTAATTATATTAAGAGTTTTATTTATTCATTTATTTATATACTTGAGTGGTGGGGGGAAAATCAAATTGGACCTTGGTCGCTTAGCATTTCAGTTTCCAAATTCAATCCTAGATTTGTAGGTATAGTGCCAGGTGTAGTTAATCTAACAAACAAATAAACCCATCACAAATCCTCACCAAGTCAACCATATCATATCATCATCGTCATAATGTCATCATCATCACCACTTGTTAAAATTAGACAACTTCCCAACGTACCCACCACCACCATCACCACCACTTTCATCACACCTCTTTCGCTCTCTTTCTCCATTCTCGCCCAATCACAACTCCACCAGGAGCAAACCACGACCACCAACAATCGAACCTCCAATTCCCCTGCCTCACTCCACCGTACCAGCCACTATTTTAGATCTACCATTGTTGTCTTCATCCACCATTGTTATCTTCATCGTCATCGCAACCGAGCACCGCACCACCAATCGATCCTCCACCAGCCGCACTCGCCTCTGATTCTCCACTACCCCACTTAGCAACCACCAGCCGCATCTTAACCACCATCTCCTGCCAACAACAACTGCCACAAGATTGCCATTTTTTTTTAAGGAATTGAAAATCATTTATGGCCTGTTTGGTTCCAAGCATTTCATTTGAAATGCTGGATTTGGGCCAAAAAACAAAAAACATGTTTGGGTAATGTTAAAATTTGAATTTTCATTTGGTTGAAATCCAGCTCTTAAAGAATTATACCCATTTTATCAAAATTTCAAATTCCATCCCAAAGCCTATCATTTCAAATTCTTACTTATATTATATAAAAAAAAAAAAAAAATTAAAAAACTGACTTTCTCTCCTAAGGATAGACCTGATTTCCCCTTTTCTGATTTTCTCTCTCCTCATCTTGATTTCTCTCTCCTCCATTGAAGCATTTTGTGAGCTCTCTACTTCATTGAAGATTGATGTGTTTTTTCGTACTCAAATTCTCCATTAGAGCAACTAGTGAGCTTTAATTTGTCTTCTTTGTGTAAGTGTACTCTCAATTCTCCATTAAGGTTGCGTCTGAGCTTTTCTCTGTCCTCCATTGAAGTGACGTATGAGCTTTCTCTCCTCCATTGAAGCGGCGTGTAAGGTCTCTCTCTCCTCCATTGAAATGGCATGTGAGCTTTCTTTCTCCTCCACTGAAACGACATGTGAGCTTTCTTTCTCCTCCACTGAACCGGATGTGAGCTATCACTCGTCCATTGAAGGAGCTTTTGAGCTTTCTCTTGGCCCCCACTGAATCATCTTTATTTCCGGATAATATCGATTAATACACAATTTTTTGGTCGAATTTATCTGTTAATTTTTCAGTTTTTTCGATTAAATTTTTAATTACTAAGTATAAGTTCCTCCAATTTATAGTTAAATGTTTATAATTTGATTAGCTAATTTATTTTCATATTTTTCTGTTTGTTTAATTTAATTAATTATCTATCATGAGTATTAATTAAGTAAATGTAATTTTAATGAAAATTTTATTTGCTTAATTCAAAATATCAGTCATCTCCAAACAAAAGTTAGGATTTCAAATTTTGGAAATGAAATTCTAATGTTTCCCAAACACCTAACAATGGAATTGAATATCAAGATTTCAAATTCTAAAATTCAATTCCAACATTTGAAATGAATATCATGTTTCCAAACACAACCTTATCTTTTTTTGAAGGACTTGAAAGTCATTCAATTAGGGTTGATGATTAATTGATTTTGTGGGTGTTAATCAAAATTATGAATGACAAAATAAAATATAACCGAACGAGTATAGTGAAAGGAGGAGAGCAGAGGAGAGAGAAAGAAAAGGGAAGAGAAAATTAAGGTAGCCGCTAAAGGTGGGCATAGTGTCGTGCCTGGGTGGGGCTCGTGCCGTGCCGGCTTCGCAGTGGGCCGTGCAGCCCACGGCACGACACAACCCACGTGCCTGGTGGGTCGTGCCTTGCCGGGTTGTGGGCCAACCCGTAATTTTAAATTTTTTTTTTTTTATAAATATATATGTATATATATATATATATATATATATATATATATATATATAACTTAAGTTTATATAAATAATGTAAGTATTATTATTATTTTATTTTATTTTATTTTATTTTTATGCTTATGGTATAGAGTAAATACAAATAGAAGGTATTAATATTTGGCAAAAGTTGCAAACAAGGTACTGAAACCTTGGCTGGAGGTAAAAAATCCGGTGGTTACCTGTTCCAACCAGTTACCTCAATTTAATTTTTTTTTATTTTATTTAAAAAAAGAAGGAAAAAGCTGAATTGGAGCAATTAAAAATAGATAAAAAGTCTCTTCTCTTTCCTCATCCCCTTTCTTAAAACTTTCTCTCTCCTCCCTTCCATGGCAGGGCAACCATAATTGCTTCCTTCACCATGAAATATAGATAAATTCAACTAAAATCCCATGAGATATAAAAATAGAATCCTACATGAATAAAAGCTAGCACCTAAATCGACCAATTCCTCAAACTCAACCACAAGTAAATCATAATATCAATTAGCCTAAACCCCAAATAAATTTAACCACCAATCACCTAAAAAAATGGTTGCCATAATAAACCTATCACTACTGATCTGGGGTTTTTTGGCTGGAAATTAGAGGGCTAAGGTATTGAATATGAATAGTGTGATTAGCGGAAGTGATTGAAGGCTGTTGTTCATTAGTAGGTAGTAGCAGTACCACATTGAATCAATTGCTTCCACTTACAAAAAAAAGACAAATGCACAAAAATTTCTTAATTAACTTCTAGATTGAATCAATTGCCTGAAGAAAGTGATATATGAGTATAATCTGTTGTTGCTCACTCTTTTTTTTCCGATTTGTGTTTTCCGTGGGCTTTGTTGTGGGTCGACGCCGGAGAGGAGGGCGTTGGGTCGGCTAGGGAAGAGATTTGGTTGTCGATGGTGGTTGGCAAAAGGCTGGTTGGTGGTTTCGTGGTTGCCGATATGGGTGGTGTTATGCATATGAGGAGTGAGGAATGAGGAGTGAGGGTAATGTGTGTGTGTATATATATATATATATATATATATATATATATATATATATATATATATATATATATATATATATATATATATATATATATATATATATATATATACACGAAGTAATAATTTTTTTCTCTAACTTTTGTAACAGTCAAATGTTAAAACTCTCCAAACATTAGTATCTTTTGATAAATGTGTCATTAATTTAATTTTTCCTTTTTTTTGCAAATGGTAACCAGTTGTAGTAGGTTGATTAAGGGTTGAGTACTCTAACTGCAACTTCTCTAACTTCAGTACCTTACTTGCAACTCTCTTCAAACATCATTACTCTCTATTTGTGTTTACACTTAAAATATAACTTTTTTGAACAACTTTAATTTAATTAAGTTTATATAAATAAACATAATTAAATAAGTTTATATAAATAAATTTTATTAAATAAGTTTTAATATAATTGGGCATGGGCCGTGCCGGCGTGCCGATGATCGTGACCCTGCCGGATTTCAATTGTTTGTTCACGGCAAGGCCCATGGCCCACAACTGGGCCAATGTGCCGGAGTCGTCCCGGGCCCGTGCCGCCCGCGTGCTGGCACTGCCTGTGCCCATCTTTAGTAGTCGCACAAACCCTTGGGTGCGGTGCCAACACCCAATAGATTGTGTTTTTATTAAATGAGCAAAAATTACCGTTTGGTGCACCTACCTCTATGTTTACCTATGTGTGTATAAAAGATGTTGTATTACTCATGACATGATTTAAATTCTTGTTATTCCTTTTTGATCTAACCTTAACTACAAGTCATATGCATACTATTTTTTTTATAATTTGAAAACTGGTCTCTTAAGATAGATTTGAGAAAACAAGCTGCCAAAACTGGATTATTTGAAAGTTGAAATTACCCCAAGACATAAGAATTCAATAAATCAATATTACTAATGGTAATTTTGTTGTTTACCTAGATTAATTTCTATGTGTAAACCACATTCTCAAGAAACAAGCTTAAATTTATGAGCATAAATAAAATTTATACAAAAAGTTACTAACTCCAATCATCTGGTCCATAATTAATAGTCATATTACTAGTTCAAATAACATTATTAATGTTATTACAAATTCCTTGCACGATTTTCAGTTATTGGATTTTTAAAGTTAAATTTTACCATACTTTATTTAGGGCTTGTTTGACATCATTTTTGGTTTTCAGTTTTCAGTTTTTTTTTTTTTTTAAAACCAAAAACCAAAAACAGCAAACAAGAAAAAAGTGTTTTCACTTTTCTGTTGTCAGTTTTCAAAATTATTATAATTTTAATATGTTTAAATAATTTTTGATTCATTATGGGTCATATATCATATACTTTTCAAAAATAAAAAACCAAAAAGCAGAAAACCACAGCAATGCCAAACGAACCCTTAATTATTCATTTTTTTGTTTTTCCTAATGACTTGTTTATTTTTGTGTAGCATAAAAGTGGCAAGTGGGGGTCTGGATTCATTCCAATTGCAGAATATGGAGCTGTAAAGAAAAGGCAACCACATGTTGTGAGATTACTTTACAGCGGAAGGAACCATTATGATCTCCTTGTTTGATTATCATCTTCTATTTTGTCCAATGTTTGACAACAGAGAAAAGGAAATGGAAAATAATGTGTTCCTAATGTAACCCCAACATCTTTGTATTACGCGCTTAAAATTTTAATTTTTTTTTCATTTTTTTTTTAATTTTTTTTAATTTTTAATTTTTTGTATGGAGTTATGACTCTTATGAGCAGCTGAGTATTGAAAGCAAAGATATAGTGAATGCGAAAATATTAGGAAAAATATGCAAGAAAAAAAATAGGAAAAAAAATCTTGGATGACGAATTGATGAGCACTAGAAATAAGAGAGCACGAGATAAATCCAACTTTAACCTATGAATCCTTGAAAACATTTCCAGAACACCTTTTCCATCCAAAATTAACTATTTTTGGGCAAAAATTTGGGTTCGGGGCCCTAATCAGCTTTCAAACGGGTTTAAAATAATAAAATCGTGCTACTAATCTAATTAGCAACATAAAACCAGAAAAATAAAACCATAAAAACACCTTGAAAATTTTTATTATAAAAATAAATGAACCTGACTCTGCTACCACTGTTGGGTTTTGATGAGTCAGACTCATCGCGGAATAAAACCCGACCCAAGATCACACTCACGATTAATATAATTATTAACAAGATTAAGGAAAGACATAATTACCTTTGATGCGCGCTTCGCTCGTACCCCGAGCTCTTACTTGAGAAAGCTTAAGTCTCACAACGGGCGAAAACCTCCTACGGTATCCACCCGCAGCACGACCCCGACTAGGTCTATTGCTTAGATGTTAGCTAAGCTCGACCAAAATACTCGAGTAATTATGGTTTACATGTTTTCTCAATGGAGACGCCTTTCCTAACACTTTACTCAAGTGAATAATCTCAACTCCCAAGGTTAGTATTTATAAACAAAGGCTCTCCAAAATTCCCATCATCTTTCTATGTGGGAGAAATGATAGAGTGAGAAAAATAATGATTTAATTTAATTCTAAATGAAGTTAAATATTCATACAACAAGTAAACGACAAGGGGCACAAGAACAAGGAGGGTAGGTGGGAGGACCACGGAGACCAAGGTTGGTCATCTGCCCACCTCACGCCACATGACAGCAGCCACCTTGTGCACCAAGGCTGTGCTGCTGTTGGGCCTCGTCTCAAGGCCTGGCTGGTTTCCAACCTTGCTGTTGGGCCTCGCTGCTCCATGCGGGCTGCTGCTAGGCCTTGCCGCAAGGCTCGGCTAGCAGCTAGCCTTACTAGGCGTTGCGCCCAACGCACACTAATTAAGGCCAGCAATCATGCTGGGCCTAGTGCTGGGGCTGCTTGGCATCCCGCTAGGCCTAGCATGCTAGCTAGGCCCTTGTGCTACGACCATCATCCAACACGCACAAGGTCACCTAGCATGCTAGGCCCGAGTGGTATATCAAGACCTTTATACGCTAAGCATCCAGGCCTAGGTAAATATGTTGTTTGACTAATTAAGACAATTCACTTGACTCACGACGCTCGGTTTCGACGCTCTAAGCTACGTCTAAATATTAATTACTCGAGCGACTTATTAATTCCTTCCGAATAAATTTGTCGTGTCGGTTCTTTAGTTGATTGGTTGTGACCCAAAGGGTTCAATTAAGATTAAGCTGTAATATTAATTACTCATTAATAATACCGATTGGAAGCGGCCTCCACCTAGGCATTCCGATCACTTGACCTCACTGAATAATTAGTTTTCTAATAATTTTGAACCCTCAATCGGAATAATACACTTGTTCGAAGGACACCATTCCTATTAGGCCAGTGTTCACGTCTTGCAGCCGCTTAAGGTCATCCCAGGCCGACTGGATCTCACGCCTCTACCTTGGAAGCCAGTCTTGGAAACCAAAGAGCCTAAGGAGAAGTTACGGACGAATGGACAAAATTAAGGGAATTGGCTAAGAATTCAGAAGACGAGTAAGTTTACCTCAACACAGCTGTTGATCATTGGACTGAGGTGGCCATCATGGATATCCCGGAACTTGTTTTGAGTCTTGCTTGGGACGGCCTGCTGGATGGCGTCCCAGACGGCCTTGCGTTCGGTTCCAGTCAGAGAAGACTCAAGAAGCCAAGCATCCATCTCTTCAGAAATTTCTACAAAATAAAGAGAAGTTAGAATTTTGAATAAAAGTTTACTTAGAAGAAAAATAAGATGAAGATGTACGAGTACCTTATGAGAGATGAGGAATGTTCTGACGTCTCTCAAGAGTGGGTGTCGGCAGAGGCTGCTCGTTCGCTTTAGGCGGAGACAGCTGTCCTTCTTCTGCCTGGGAACAAGAGGCCCGAGTCCCCAGATACTTAATATGCGGAGTTAAGTCATGGTCGACTGTGTTGTCCAGGGTCGGCTCTCCTTCCCCGTCCTTCTAGACGGGCTCGTCTCGGGCAACCTCTGACGGTTGTGGCTCCGAAGGCTTGGAGTCCCCACTAGGTGTCTGGGGTTGCTCTCCTTTAGTTTGCGATAATGCAACCTGTGACCTTGCCCTGACCGCAAGTGTCCCTGAGGGGTCTTGGACGCCAAAACTTTGCGAGAATTGGACGACCTCTCGTCCTTTGAAGCCGACGTCGGTCTCTTCCTCACTAGCCTAGGGGTATCTGACTGAAAAACAATAGGAAACATTTAGTAAGGTTACCCAGTTCGAGTATAGATAGAGGAAAGAACCTCCGAAGTAAATCCACTTGGCAAATTTGCGGAACTCTCCCCCGACCGAGTAGGAGTTATTTTGGGTGTTGTAGTCCCTCGGGAGAGTTATAGCTCGAGGACTGATCCAACTGTGCCTGTACCTGCAAAATAACGGAGACTTCGGGTGTTTGGAGCTCCGCCTTTGACGGTCAAGTTAGTACTTGAATATGAGTGGGAGAAAGTGTGGAAAATAAAGTGAGATCTTCTCGGATTCCGAGATCAGGTGTTTCTCTGATGTGAGAGAATGTAGGGTAGGTGTAATAAATGATTGAATGTAATGTGTCCCCAATTTTGGGGAATATCTCCCTATTTATTTGACCTAGATTTAGTGGGCTGCGCCGTTTTACGGAGTTCTTGGGAATTGGGCCTTGAAGGCTGCAATTCAAGAAGCATCTGAGGTTGACACGTTTTAGCTGGCAATTATCCCAAATGAACCTTCCTAGGCTTGACACGTGGTCCTCTCTGATTGGTCCACGTGGACAGGGTAATTTTACCCAAAACATTTGTCCCTCACAGGTGACACGTGAATGGCCACGTTGCGCCTTTGACACGCGACAGCCAGTAAACGGTGAATAGTAAAACTATTTACCTTCTAGGGTTTTACAGGGATGCCCCTTCTTTTATCCTTCTATAAATAGAAGGTTTTACCCTCCCTCTCTCCCCATTTCACACCTAAAATTTGACTTTTTAGAGAGAGAAAGAGAGAGCTTTTAGAGAGAGACACTCTGCATCCGTTTGCCTGGGATTTTGCGTTTTTTGGCTACTTTTCAAGGAACACACCCGATCACCGCGTGTAGTAATTTTTAGATTTCCATAGACAAGCTAAAGAGGATATTTTGTCCAGTGTTGAGAGAGTGCAAGAGGAAGTGAGAAAACACGACCTTCCATATCCCCAAAAGTTTATGAGGAACAAATTAGATAAACAATTTGGGATATTTCTTGATATGTTGAAGGAGGTCCATCTTTTTATCCCTCTTACCGAAGCTATGACCCAAATGCCTAGATATTCCAAATTCCTTAAGGATATTTTGAGTGGTAAGAGAGAGTGCAATGAGGTAGATTCGGTAGAGCTTGGTGAGTGTTGTACTGCTTTGATTCACAATGACTTACCAAAGAAGATGAAAGATTCGGGCAATTTCTCTATTCCTTGCAAGATCAAGAGTAAGTTGTTTAAAATGCTTTGTGTGACTTAGGTGCTAGTGTTAGCATTATGACTTACTCGGTGTTCAAGAAGCTTAATCTAGGAGAACTTCTTCCTACGAACATAAACTTGCAATTGGCCGATAGATCTATTAAGTTTCCAAAAGGAAGGGTTGAAGATGTTCCCCTTAGGATTGGTGGTTTCACAATTCCCGTAGATTTTATTGTGCTAGAAATTGAGGAGGATGGCCACATTCCTTTATTCTAGGGAGACCATTCTTAGCCACTTTGGGTGCTCTAATAGATGTTAAGGGTGGCCATATCACTTTGAGAGTTGGTAATGAAAAAGAGAGTTTTAAGCTAAAACCAATGCATGAATCCTTTTCTTTTGTGAAACAAGTCATGAATGATAATTCCCTTCGCTCCATTGATAATGTTTGTGTGATTAATTCTTCAACTAACAGTGTTCATGAGATTTTTGATGATGTGCTTGTGAAGTTTGATGCCATGAAAGTTAGTGAAGAAGAAAAGCTTTCAAATGCTATGGACGAAGAGGTTATTGACATTTCGCATTGGTTTGAGCTTTGCCCTTAAGAGGAGGAGGAGGATTCCATGGATGTAGATGGTGTGAAACCGTCTACAAAAAGAAACAAGGTTAAGAAGAAATCAAGAGCTTCGAGGAAGAAGAGAATGAGATTGAAGTTGAAAAATGACAAGGTTGTTTTTGAAGTGGAAAAATGACAAGGTTGTTTTTGAAGAGAACGAGAGGTTGCTTAAAAATGAAGGAGAAGTTGTTCTATCCGCTACCTTGGACAAGGTGGTGTTCTTTGACCCTCCATGATTTGGAGGAAGGGTCGAGCTTAGGACCATAAGCAAGCGCTTCCCGGGAGGAACCCGGAGATTTCTAACCTTTTCTTTTGTTTCTATTTTCTTAATTTTCTTTCTTTTATTTTCTTTTCTTTCACTTATTTTTCTTTTGGAATTATAGGGTAATTCATGGAGATGGATTATTTTCTTTTGGAGCACGAGCATTGGATAGGAGTTTTTGCAGTTTTAGTGGTGATGTATGATTAGGGGATTTTGCTCCTACCAATCGGAATGCGCCACGTGGGCCAATCAGGACCTGCCAAGTGTCCCCTAGTTGGACTGTCAGGGCTTGCCACGTGGCACGCGCTTATTCGTCCACCTTGGACCTGTTATGTCACGACATGTGGCATACTCCATGCCTAATGGAGAAACCGGCCACCCAGGCCCAACTTCCGAGGAAAGCCCAATCGGCCCTAGGTTTACCTAAACCTAGGATGGGCACGTTTCCCAAGGTTATAAATACCTCCCTTAATCCTCATTAACAGGGGGGGGACAAGAAACAACACGCGAAAAACATTACGGAACACACTAATAACCGGCTGATCTCGCTAACAAAGTAGATTACCTACATTAAACACTCTCACCTAGAGAGACCTTATTACTTTAATTTCCGCATTAATTACTCTTTAATCAGGTACTAACTTGACCGTTGGAGGCGGAGCTCACAGGAGTCTCCGTTATTTTGCAGGTACAGGCGTCCGGTTCCAGTCTCGGAATTGTAACTCTCCCGCAGGACATCAGAAAACCCCGAAACATTTGGCGCCGTCTGTGGGGAGAGTACTTCAGAGATGGCATCCAAGTCTGTACCGACTCCTGAAGAGAGGCGTCCCGTAGACGACCCTCAAGTTTAGTCGGACCATGACACCGAAAGTGAATTTGAAGCTGAAACTCATACAGCTTCAGACGGGACCCTAAGGGCCCGACGTACCCGTCATACCGAAAGGAGGGAACGGGAGCATCTTCAAACAGGAAGCGAGCCAGCAGGCGCACCGCCTGTTCGGCAACAGCCGACTGATGGGTCTACTCCCATCACAAGGAACGAACTCATGACCTTCATGAGGGACTTCAAGGGAGAGATTCAAGAGTTGATCAACAAGAAGCCGCCTGCTTCAGTCAAGGAGCAGTCGGCCAAGAAACCCTCCACTTCACTGAAGAGAAAGCCAGTTCAAGGGCGAGAGGCGACTCCTCATCCTAAATCTAGGAAGCGGGAGCCACCTGCCCTTGATTTCACAAAATTCCGTTATCCTACAGGAAATAGGAAACCGGTTCGTCATATTCAGGCGGACGGGTCAAAGCAAACATTCACAGATGCTCAGCTACTGCTAGAGCAGAAGAAGAGTGACCGATTGTCAGAGTCGGCTTCTACTTCAAACTTTCAAGACAGTTTGCGAAATGCCTCGATGAGGCATACTCAGTCGTACCATGAGAGTCAGTCAGGCGGCACCTCCCGTCAGTCCGGCTTTCATAGTGCCCAGGCGGTACCAAACTTACCATTTGTGCCGCAACAACAGTATTTTATGCAGCCACCTCCATTTGGTGGACCTACAGCAAAAAACGTCCAACCTATGGACTGGCAGCTACGGTTGCTTAGACTTGGTGAACAGCCGTCGGCCTTCTCCAAGGAAATTACTGAAGCCGCTCAGCCGGCCAAAGTGAAAAATGTACTAGTAGGCGCCTATGACGGCACTACTAACCCAGAAGACCATCTGATGGCATTCACCAACCTGATGTACCTTCAAGGGTTGGATGATCCCACTTGGTGCAAGTGTTTCCCAGAGACTCTCAAAGGAATCGCACAGCAATGGTTCGGCAACCTGCCGACTGGTTGTGTAAATAGCTTCAGGACGCTTGCTTACTTATTTGCCTCCAACTTCGCCATGAACATCCCTGCGAAGAAAACGACCCTTGATTTGGGAACAATTCAGCAGGGCGAGAAGGAGGGGCTTCGTTCTTACATCAGGCGGTTTAACCTGATGAGAATACAGATTCAAGGGTTACCGGATGAGGTAGCTTATACCGACTTTTTTAGAGGTCTCAAAGACGGGTCTACCTTCAAATTTGATTTGGTTCGAAAAAGGGTGGCGACTCTTCAAGAGGCCTTGATTGAAGCAGAAGCCTATATACAGGCGACTGATCTGTGTACGATAAAACAGTCGGACGGGAAAAGGTTCGACAAAAGAGAAGGACGACAGAAACAGTCGTCAAACAAAGATGAGAAAAGAAAAGAGGTCTGGGCGGCTGATTCCTCTAAACAGCCGGCCCAGAAAAAGAAAAAAGAATTCAAACCATACTCCCCAAAGTATGCGTTTAAAAAGGACAACCAGTTTATCCTAAAAGAAATCAAGGGACGGATCTCAATTGAGAAGCCGGTCCCCATGAAGGGTTCTGCAAACAACCGGAACCAAGATAAAATCTGTGCTTATCATGATGACGTTGGTCATCACACCAATGACTGCATCAGTCTTATGCGGTACCTAGACCGCCTGGCTGAGCAAGGTGATCTTAACACTTATGTCAAGAAATCTACGGGGAACACTTCCTCAAAAAAGCTGTCGGCCAAAAAGAATCAACAGGCCGACAGCTCCGATACAGATGATGCAGTCGTCTACACCATTGCAGGCGGCTTCTCAGGAGGCGGCCCCACTATTAGGGGCAACAAAGATAATATAAGGCGGTTAGATGTAAATTCCGTTCACCAAGAACGGCCGTCCAAATATACATTTCCTGAGATTGTCATCACTGAAGAGGATCTAGGAGGGGTAAGGGGGCCGCATGACGACCCTCTCGTTATTGAATGTAAAGTGGCCAACCAGAGAGTTGGCCGAATCCTCATAGATACCGGGAGCTCCTCAGATCTCATCAGCAGCAAATGTCTGTCGAAACTGAAATATCAGACTGACTGCATACATCCGGCCTCCCACCCTTTAATAGGGTTTGGAGGAGGAGTCGTCCACCCACTGGGACGAGTAGATTTACCCATTCTCTTGGGCGAAAAAGGGGAAGGACGACACATGGTAGTCCGGTTCCTAGTAGTAGAGGAACTCTCGGCCTACAACATGATTCTGGGTCGACCAACCCTGAATAATTCCAAGGCTGTTATAATCCCGTCTCTTATGTTGCTCAAGTTTGAGAGGGATAATGGAACAGTCGGCTCCCTAAGGGGAGATCAGAGGATGGCCCGAGAGTGCTATCTCTCGGATGTCAAGCCCACTGTTATGGCCACTGGGTTAAGTGGTGAAAAAACAGACCTTGACAATGTCAAGGAGAGTGCGCCTGTTCAAGAAGCAGGCGGCAAAAAGAGAAAGGCGTCCTAGACAGAGTCCGCAAGAAAAGCAAGAAAATAGCAATCATTGGCAGAGGAGCGGCCGGATGAGTTCCGCCCTCAGCCGGCTGGTGAGCATGCGGACCTGATCTTAGACGACTCACGTCCTGACCGAACAGTCAAAGTTGGGACGACTGCTCTGAGAAACCTTGGTGACGACTTTCACAACCTATTGAAAGAATACAAGGACATCTTTGCATTTGAAGTCCATGAAATGCCAGGCATTAGTCCTGATCTGGCGGTACATAAACTCGCCGTGGATCCGAAAAAGAAGCCGGTACGGCAAAAGAAGCGGAACCATGGCGAAGAAAGAAGTCAGGCGGCAGCCGCCGAAGTTAAAAAATTACTTGATACAGGGTTCATTCGGCAATGTTACTTCCCAGACTGGGTTGCAAATGTGGTGCTTGTTAAAAAGCCGAATGGCACCTGGCGAATGTGTGTAGACTACACAGACTTAAACAAGGCGTGCCCCAAAGACAGTTATCCTCTGCCTAAAATTGATAACCTGGTCGACTCGACAGCCGGCCATGCCTTGATGAGTTTCATGGACGCCTATTCTGGTTTCCATCAAATTCCCTCATGGAAGAAAAATCAGGAGAAGACGGCCTTCGTCACTGATCAGGGGTTATATTGTTACACGGTCATGCCGTTTGGTCTTAAGAATGCCCCGGCTACCTTCCAACGAATGATAAACACTGTGTTCTTTGATCAGATTGGGAGAAACGTCGAGGCATATATTGATGATATGATTGTCAAGACTAAACTTCAGAAAGATCATCTGTCGGACCTCCGAGAAACTTTCGCCACACTCAGGCGGCACCATGTCATGCTCAATCCCAAGAAATATGTATTTGGAGTTGAGTCTGGGAAATTTCTCGGATTCCTTATCAATCAGAGAGGAATAGAAGCGAACCCTGAGAAGGTGCAGGCGGTCATTGACATGCAGTCGCCTCGTACCATCCGAGAGGTTCAGAAGTTAACAGGTTGTTTGGCGGCCTTGGGAAGATTTCTAAGCCGATCAAGCGACAAATGCCTAAACTTTTTCCAGGCAATTAAGAAAAAGGCAAGGTTTGAATGGG